TGTGTGTGTGTGTGTGTGTGTGTGTGTGTGTGTGTGTGTGTGTGTGTGTTAGCTGTAGTTCCGTTGGCAGCATGTTTGCTTCTGAATTCATAAGATTCCGCATTTGGTTCCCACTCCAGTATAACATTGAGGGTGCGCTGCACAGTCAAAGGTGCTATCTTTTGGATAAGACATTAAACCAAGACTTCCTCTTCCTACTTGGCTAGTTGTAAAAGATCCTTTGGAATTCACTTTGAAGAAGTTGACGCAAGTTATCCCTCAAGTCATCCTGACCAAAATTTATTCTTCAATTAACATAAAAAGCATATTCTTTGATCATTATTGTGAAGCATGCTAAATAAATGCAAATTTTTCTTTCCTTTTGACTCCTGAAAAGTGGAAAAGAATAACCTTTGCACAGATAATGGATAAAAATTAAAAAAAAAGCAGAATTCAAAGAACAAATCAAGAGGACACTCAATAGAATAGACATCTTGACATGCTGTGTTAACTCAACATGATTAAAATTATGCAGTTCTTTGTTGAGGCAATTCCTTGCGTAGTTGACATTCATCTAATAACACAAAAGGTGGAAAAGAGATCTTTTTCTTAAGGGCTTTATCTCCCTTTGTAGGTTTCAGACCAATCCACATCCAAGAATCTGCTCTGAAAACTCTGCTCACATTTTATCAGCTTGGATAAATTTCGGAACAGCTGAGATAATCCACAACATTCCATAATAATGCAGAACATTCTTTAAAAAAAAACATTTGCCTTATCTCCAAATATTAACATATATTAAACATTCCATGGTCTGCATCACTATCTGGATCTTCAACAAAAACTAATCTATCCATTAATTTTGAGATGTATTGTTTACAAACATTCAGTCCTCCATCCTGGGTAATAAAGACTATTCACTGTTAAGATAGCTGAACTTTAATATATCTTCAATTCTTTTACAATCATTCTTTGTTTCCTAGGGTCCAGAGGGGCCTCGGGGACCATATGGTGCTCCTGGACCTAAAGGCGAACATGTAAGTGTTCAACATTAACATTATCGGACCATCATAACTTAATTATTTGCTACTACTCTTTTTCTGAAGATCTTCAACCCTTTATGGGATCCACGTGGGTGGGAAACGATGTAACTATTATTTATCTGAGCTATGTAACTGAGTGACAGTAGGTTATCAAACTCTGGAAGATTAATGAAGGCCCAATTTTTGTCTTTCTGCTCACTGTCCATGCTATTAGTGTTAAGAGATGGTGATCAAAAGCAGAATCTAAAAGTCTATTTTTTTCCTGGATCCAGAGGCACTGTGAAAATTTGTGGAAACCCCTGGCAGGCACTGATTACGTCCTTGCATAACAGCTCAAACCTAGCACCTTCCTTGTCTAGATAGCACTGAGAGTCACAAGTGGATGGATTTTTCTCCAGTCTAGATCACTGTCTAGGGCAGGGTTGAAGATAGACTTGATGCACCAGCCCTTCCTAGTTATATTTTGGGCAGATTGTTCCACAACACAGTGTGCCAATGGCAAGTATGATGATGGGTTACACCTCAAAGGAGGACTTGTCTTTTACAGGTGGCAGAACTGCCTTTTTTTTTAAACAAGGTAAAGAAATAACTTGAAATGAGCAACAGTTTCTTCAGGAAAAAGAAGTGTAGGAGCTGAAAAGATGGACATTTTCATCTGAGTTTAATGGGAGACATAGCTCCTGATGAAGGGCAGGTTTGATATCTTTGTTTCATGGTCACCTGGGAATTGGTGAGGTGAGTGACAATGAGGACAGAAGTCACCTGCTTAACCAATCACACGTCTCCATTTTACATCTAGTACGAGAGGCAGCCAGTTGATCTGTTTTGCTAGAAAAAGGTCATGTAGCGACATGAATTGGAATAGATGTTGCTGGGAGCTCCAACATCAAGTTATAGACTCATAGAGATGTACAGCATTGAAATAAGTCCAACTTGTCCATGCCGACCAGATATCCTAAATTAATCTAGTTCCATTTGCCAGCATTTGACCTATATCCCTCTAAACCCTTTCTATTAATATACTCAAAAAGATGCCTTCTAAATATTGTAATTGTACCAGCCTCCATGATTTCCTTAGGCAGTTCATTCCATACACATACCACCCTCTGCATGAAAACATTGCCCCCTTAGGTCCCTTTTAATTCTTTCCCCTCTCAGCTTCAACCTATGTCCTGTAGTTTTGGACTCCCTTACTTTGGGGAAAAGACCTTGACTATTCACCCTATCCATGCCCCTCATGATTTTATAAACCTCTATAAGGTCACCCCTCAGCCTTCGATGCTCCAGGGAAAATAGTCCCGGCCTATTCAGCCTCTGCCTATAGCTCAAACCCTCCAATCCTGGCAACATCCTTATAAATCTTTTCTGAACCCTTTCAAGTTTAAAGCCATCTTTTCTATGGCAAGGAGACCAGAATTGAATGCAGTATTCCAAAAGTGGCCTAACCAATGTCTTGTGCACCCACAACATGTCATGCCAACATTATTTAAACTGTATAATTTAAAGGGATTAATTTTAGACTTTTAATTGCTTTAGTTCGCCTAATCTAAACTATGTAAGTACCCCTTCAAAACTAAACAGGTGTTTTGGAAGCATCTTACTCATTCTGTGCTGGAATTTTGGCAATTTGAAAGTTAGATAAACAGGACCTGGTAAGGAAGACACTTTTCAGTTGTGCAGACACAGTGTCCAGTCTTTCGTTGTTGATTTTCAGCAGTTTTGCCCAAATGCTTGTTGGGCTGGCGTCAAGAAGAATACTAGAGTTTGTTTGTTAGTCCTTCTGTTCATTCTAGAGGCTGCACAGACGTATTGCCAGTAGAGTTACTCCACTGTTGTTATGTATCTGTAATAACATTTCATCTCTCACTGGAATATAGGAGTGTAGCCATGACAACTGCTCTATACACAAGGATCATAATTGATTTGCTGAGGTCCTTGTTGTTAAAAACATGCTGCCATAGTTTGTGGATGACTAAGCTGGTACACCTCATTAATGTTGAATCGCTTCATCAACATGGTCTTTTAAGAGATAGGCTGCCAAGTTATGGAAAGTTTTGGATATATTTCAGAGTTTCTCTTTCAGCCTATTGGGGAGGTGGAATGTTTGGTAATCAGGACCAGGTTGATGTGAGTTTTTTGTTTTGGCAATGTTCATGGATAGGCCAAGTCCCTGGTTTGCCGAATTGAAATGGCTTGTAAATTTGGTGCAAAGTGACCAACAGCAAGGCAGTCATTCACAAATGGTGGATCATGTATGTCTATAGTGATCAGTTTAGATTTGTCACAAAGGCAACTGGGCTTAAAGAACAACACATTGTGTAATAATATGATGATCTGGACCTTGAAATATAATGGAGTTTTTTAGCCTCAAATTTCAAAACGTGCTTTTGTAAAGGGAAATGGCATAGCAACAAAATAACTGCTGGCAAAACAAAACTGTATGGAAGCAAATTGGATAGTAACGTGGGATTATAGGAGTAACAGCAAGACATGGAACCTGTCACCATTTAATATGATCATGGCTGATCAAACACTTCAGTGTATTTTACCCACACTATTCCCATAACCTTTTATGCTATTGATAATCAAAAATGTGTCAACTTCAAATTAAAATACACTCGAAGACTAAGCAGCCACAACCCTCTGGTGTAGAGA